ACAAATCCAAATAGGATCACACTCACTGCCTTAAGGAATGAATTCTCTGGCCCTCATCCTCCCCATACTCATATTTATTACTAAGACCCTAAGGTCAGTCATGTAGCAGACCACTCAGACTTCCCCTGTCCCCTATTTTTTATCCTTTATCCTTGCTTCCTTGTTCTATCAATAAAAAGCCATAGAAGATTGAGTTTGGGGCTGTCTTTATGAGACTCTCACATTAAGGGGCCTTGGTTAAGGGCAGTCTCTCTCGCCCTTCTTGGAGTTTGAATTGGACACTGACCCGGAGTAATCTCTCATCCTGTGTCATGCCATGGTCATGAACTGTGACTTATTTACATCCAATTTATAAATTACATGAAATGTAATTTTATCATATCAAATAAAATTAATTCCAAGTTCTCAATAAATGTGGGTTATTAGTCCCTTTTCGACTAAATTTTAATATTTATAAATATATTTACTTATATAGAGTATCTACTATTGTTACTGGGTTTTGGGCTGCTAGAGTCTTCTTCTGGAAGTGGCTTCTAGGTTCTTTCTGTCATGACCAAAAAGTTGGTCAAGTCAAACTAAAAATGGTAGCAAAATTTTATTAAAGGTAGGAAAAGAAACAAGATTTGCAGAGCTAATTTGGGGCAAGTAAAAGTAGGAAAAGAAATATACCCTACACTGTGAGAATATGGCACCATGTAAGATCGACCACAGTGACAAAAACTCAGTGATAATTGTCCTTTTTGTATCATCCATTTCCCAGGCTGATGTCAGGTCTAGGCCATCCTATGGAAAACCTGTTTAAATTCTCAAGAAAAGTCCACATGAAGGTCTTTGGGAACTGTTCTGCACATGTATTCTGGGATTTTGTAATTAACAGGTCACACCTAATTCCCCAGCCAGTTTTGCCATACCCTAATCTGTATCACTATGAACTAGGTCCTGTGTTAGAGGCTAAGGATATAATGATGAGTCAGCTCCTCTCAAGGACCTTACAATCCAATCTAATTATTCAAAAATGCATTCAGTTAATTAAGGTACACTATTCCAACCAATCTAAATTATCTACAAGAAATAATGTTAGCAACGGTGGGGGGGGTAGGAGAAAATACAAAAATGAACATAGCCTTCTATATAAATAGGAGCCTACTCTAATTGAACACAAGATGCACATTTTTCATTAAAATTTGGTTTCCTTGCCAATAGCTTCAAAAACCAGAAACACAATTTTCAACTTTTAGAAGATAGTTCCTCAGGCATCTTAGCTCTTTCATTGATCTGGTTACAATTCTCTTAAATTCAACTAGATAGTTGTTTCCCCCTGTGGTGGATCTCTACAGATTCCAGGTTCTTGTGTATAGCACACAATTGATAGATCTCCCATTACCTCCCCAGCTATTATGTATAGTAGCTGCCCTCTTCCTATCATGCCTTGCCCTCTCCCCTATGTGACATCATACCAAGATGGTTGCTCCCACCAAAGAATAAACCCTTCTTCCCAGCATGCCCCTGTTCCTGCCTAGAGAATAACCTAATACTCGCTCACCTCCTACCACCTAGTGACATCACAGGCTCTTTCATTCCCTAGTCACTACCTCACTCAATCCCACCTCACCCCCTACAAACCCCACCCCAGTCTCTATAAAAGACTCTCCCTGACCTGGCCATATTGCTTTTTGTCTCTCCTTTGTTCAGACAGCCTGGTAGATCTATTCCCCTAATAAAGGCTTGTTGTGGCCTGGTCTGGTCTTGGTTTTCGGCCCTTTTACCTGACAACAATGAATTACAAAGGATACACATGATGGTGGGGGGAAAGTAGCTAGGTTTACTGAAGATCAGAAACAGAGAGATGCATGACAGAAAAGGAACAATGTACGCTGTGCAGCCAAATCAGGCTCTTGAGCTCAAGAGGGGGAAAAAGGGCCTGCACGTGATTAGGTCTGAGACTATACTGAATGCTGCCAAGGTAGCTTAGGAGCTCAAGTGGGTGGAGGGGAGTGATTAGGGAGGGATGGCTTTAGGGTGGTGCTCCAGCTCAACTGGGTGGAGGGGAGTGAATTCCTCAGCCCCCAATATCCTATCTGTACTAGTAGGAGTCCTTATTAAATTAAAATACTTCCTACTACACTCTTGTAGACTCAAAATTTGTCAGTTAATCCATTTCTTACACTATCTTTTCTGTGTTCTTTCCTTCATTCCATATAATTTCGAATTCTATCATGAGTATTCAAAACTGTCTAGCAAGCAGCTTCATTCTCTTATTATTGGGGTTATCGCTTGTCCATTAATTTAGCTGATTTGTCCATTAATTTAGCTGATTAATTTTGTGATTCTGAGTCACATCTGAATTATTTTCCTCATTTTACATTACTTACTACATACCTTTTACTTTGTTTTTCTAAACAGATGCCTGCCAGACACTTCTGACTTTTTAAAAAAGTCCATCTGTGGAATGTTAAAATGAAAAAACATACCCTTCCATGACCATTACTCAACCAGAAATTAACTTGGCTGTGGAGTAAGGTACAAAGTTTCTTATATAAAAACGACTGACAAGAAAAAAGTTACTGTTTAGGAGGAAAGCAATTTTAATATAATTGATCACACAATAACAGTAACCTTAAGTATAAACTCCCTTAAAAAAAACAAAAGAAAAACCAACTAAGCCGCACATGCCTGTAATCCCAGGACTCAGGAAGCTGAGACTGGAATATTGCCAACAAGCAGGCCAGCCTGGGCTACATAGCGACACCGTGTCCAAATAAGCTTAAAATACAAAAACAAAAAAACCCAACTAAGTACTTGTCTTTCTATTGACTTCAAAATTACAAAATGTAATTTTTAAAAAGACTGAATTTGGGACAAAGTTGAAAATACGTTACTTAGAATTGCTAAATTAAAGTCAGTCAAAATTTTCCCAAATTGTAGTTTTAACGTTTTCAATGCTGAGTTCTTAAACTGACGGGTTAATTTGAGCTATATCAAATCAGAGAACCGCCATGGAACTCCCAAATTCATTCCCAGTCACTGTATCTTAGAAAAACCACGAAAGTACTTTTACAATCAAAATGGCCCCAAAGACTTCGAAATCCATTACTTTTAGGGGGTTTTTTGTTTTTGTTTTTTAAGCGCGCACATAGAGAGGGGGTGATTTCTAGTCCAGCTGCCTCCACACTTCGAAGCCTGCTTTGTGACCCTTCGGACTTTACAAGTCCAGGGTCCTGTCAGACCTGTGGGCATCCTCACAGGACACTGGAGACCAGGGGCGCCATTTCCAAACTGAGAGGTAAAGGGCGGAGCACCAAGACCTGTGCACCCTCCAGGTCACATAAGCAGCCCCTGGACTGTTTAACAAGGCGGTACTGGAGTGCGGGGATAGGTCACTGGGCCCCAACGACTGTAAAATGCAGCCGCCCCAATGCAGATCACCTCAGAGGACACCAAGGCCGGCGGGACGTGTAGGGTCAAGCGCTGCACTCCGCGCCGTGCGCCACGTGAGGCAGCGTCCGCCCCGAGGCTGCGTGCGCATCCCACGCATCGCATCACGTGACTCGACGGGCGCTCTGGGCGAGGGCCCGCCCTGCGCCACTTCCGACGCAAGGCGCAGTTCAGGTTCCGGTGCGCCGCCGAGCTCGGCGGAAGGCCGAGCCGGGCGGCCGGGATGGAGGAGGCTGGGGCGGCTGTGGCCGTGGCCGGAGAGGCCGAGCTTAACTGGTCCCGCCTCAGTGTCTCCAGTGAAACGTTGGAGTCCGAGCTGGAGGCGCGCAGCGAAGAGCGGCGCGGCTCGCGGGAGGCGCTGCTGCGGCTCCTGCTGCCCCATAACCGTCTGATGTCTCTGCCACGGGCGCTGCGCAGTGGCTTTCCTCACCTACAGCTGCTGGACGTGAGCGGCAACTCGTTGACCGCACTGGGACCGGAACTGCTGGCGCTGAGCGGCCTGCGCACGTTGTTGGCCAGGAACAACCGGCTCGGCGGGCCGGGCGCGCTGCCCAAAGGTTTGGCCCAGTCGCCGCTCAGCCGCAGTCTCCAGGTGCTCAACCTCAGCGGCAACTGCTTCCAGGAGTTGCCCGCCTCGTTGCTGGGGCTGCGAGCGCTGCAGACCCTCAGCCTGGGCGGCAACCAACTACAGAACATCCCGGCCGAGATCGAGAACTTGCAGAGGTGAGTGGCTCCGCACACCAGTGGGTGGGGGCTCGGGGCGGTATCTGGGTCCCCTGGAGCGCCGGGCGTTTGTCTCGTAGCAGGCTTCCTGCGGGTTCACTTTAATTTATGGATAGTCACTCCTGCCTGACCATCTCCGCGAGTTACAGGGAAGATCTAGTAAGATTGCGTCTATCACGGCGTTTCATGCGTTGCTTTTGGCTCGTGCAAATTTTGGAGATACTATTTCTGTCTTACTTCCTCTGTCCGGGCAGTAATCTGAGCTAACTGGGTACTGAGAAACAGATATAAATCCAAGATTGTCACTTCTTGCTCAAAAGTCTTAAGTAGTATTTCATGCCTGTAGATTAAAGTACTATACTTGCTTTTTAGCATGGCATACACGGTGCTCTGATCTTACCCCTTGCTTTTCACTGTATTTGTCAGCTCCCTTTCCTCAGTATCAATACCGACAGTAGCATTTGTGAAGTTTGAGCCATGCACTTTCCCAACTTGCAGGGAAAGCAGCTGGCACAGGTAGGCACTTACTAAATGTGTGTTATGTGTGTTGAATAGATGCGGAGCCTCTGTGCATGTGTGGTTCCTTTTGCCTGGAATTTTTTTTTTTCAACCTGCCAAACTCCTTTAACATTTATATAAAGGGTTACCCCTATGATTCTGTCCTTTACTGCTTCCTGGACAGTTAATTATTGCTAAGTTGTATACTTTGTATCTCTCACCATTGCATTTATCTTTTCTATTTTAATTCCTTGTTTAAAGGAATTCTCTGCCTCAGCATACCTTTAACCAGTAAATGTACGTTTAATGTAATGGAAGGAAATAAACAGGATAATATTAAGTACCATAAAGGTGCCTTGCAGTGGATTGGAAGTACAATAAGAGTAACTTACCTACCATCTGTATTTTCATCTTCTAAATTTCCAAAGATAATGCTAGAGCTGGAAGGAATCTCAGATTTAAGTGTAAAAAACATTGGCCTGGAAATAAGAACTCTTGGTGTCCTGGCCTTAGGCAAGTCACTTGACATATCCTAGCCATAGCTTCCTAATCTGCAGAATGAGGCATTTGGACAAAATGTCCCTTCATTTACCCCTTAGCAGGTATTTGCTGAGTACATGTCATGTGTCAACCACTATCCGAGGTGCTGGGAATACGATGGGGATCCTGCCCTCATGGAGCTAACGTATTAGCTGAAGAGATGTTAAACAACGTTATAAGTTTCATTATTTAATTACAGTGTTCATAGCATCTGTAAAGACAAACAGTACTGTGAACAGAGAGACCTGACCTTTTCTGGTCCTCGAGCCAGCTTCTGAAAGAAGAGTACAAATTAACTAGGGTGCAAGGACATTAGGATCAGTCCAAGTAGAAGGAACAACAGGTAGGAAGAAAGTAAGGCTCGGAGATACTAAGTCTCAAGATCGCAAAGCCAGTAAGTGGTGGAAGTAGATTTAACCTCTGGAATCTACCACCAAATCCAGGCATTTTTCCCGACAGCAAAATAGGACTGGAATCGGAATCTTTGGACTTATGTTCTGTTGCACATGTGGTCCAAGTCATTTGCCTGGTTGACCAGATTTTCTGGACTGACAGCTTATCTATGGTTATTCATCATTGTGTCTGTGACACCAGTAATGTGTGGAATCTTCTACATCAGTGTTTTTTTATATTCTCTTTATTGATAGGAATCAGTAAAACTTTAGGCCATAACTGGTTAAATGTAGGCCAAAAGGGTCAGGTAGAATTATACTCCTAAAGGTAGAAAAAGCCTTGGCAGTGAACTTATTCATTTCATTTCAGTGATGGAGGTGATCCTTGTTTTTAACAGATGAGGAAACATTTTGTATCAGTAACTTGCTTGAGGCTAGAAAGTGACAGTGAGAGTTCTATGGTCCAACCTCCAAAGACTGCTAACTAGTCACCACTAAAATAATGCATTAGAGCTCCAGAAATATAGAGGTGGAGGTTCTGCTACATAAACACTAAGAACATCAACTTTTTGCAGAATACATGTGTATTCTTTAGGCCTCACTGGTAACCCTGATGAATGTTCTATACTATGCCATGATGCTTTTTAAACTGGGTCTAGTTTTTTGTCAAAAAAGAAGATACCTGCCCTCTTTAAGGACAGTTTTTAAATTTTGTAGAATATATAATCCATGCAAACATCCCCTTTCTTCCTATCCTTCATTATTCCAGGAAGGAATAAACAGTTTTTGTTTTGGTTTAGTTTAGTTTGGTTTTTTGAGACAGCTTTGTAATTCAGGCTGGCTTTGGGCTATCCTGCACTACCACACCTGATTTAAAACAAACATTCTTGGCTTAACTGATGTCATTGACTTCTCCAGATTTAGCAAGATGTCTTTACCTATGTTTTTGTACCCTGTTGATCCTTTCCCATGTTGGGAAAATCTTTTTTTAAAAGTTTCTGAAAGAGCATTTTCAAAGTGTAAGAAGTAAGTAAATGCTAAAAATCTTAAAATTTTTATGATTAACTTTACTTCCCTGGAGTAAATTAGGCTGTGGATATAGATTTTTATCCATCAAAATATGAGTTTATATTTCAGCAAATGGGTTTAATTTTTTTGATTTTCATATGAACAAACTTTGTTTTATAATGCTGAAAATGTGTAATTCATAGTTCAACCTGTTTCTTCTGAACTATTGCCTTTTATTCCTCTGTCAGTTTTGTTTTACTTCTACCTTTTATTCCTAGTGTCATTTAGCCCAGACACTAAGTGGGGAAGAGCTTAACTTACCACCCATCAGGCAATAAGACTGGCAATAGAAAGTTTCAAAGTTGTTTGGCATACAGGGTATTAGTATTTGGACAGTAGGTTTAAGCCAAGAATTTCATTGGTACATTTTCCTAGTCTTTTCTTCTTAAGTACATGTAACACTTTTCTTTTTCTGTTTCCGACACTCTTACTATCTTTTTGATGTGGTTTTAGAGAATAAAGGATTGTGACAAAATGAAAGCTAAAAATTAATGCCGTGAAATGTTTTGAAGCTAGTGTACAATATCTTAGGAAAGAGATAGGTGACTTGAGATGATAAATAAAATGTGTTAAAGTTTAAACTAAAACCTTTTTTTTTTTTTCTGGTACTGGAGATCAAACTAAAGACCTTGTGCTTGCAAGGCAGGCACAGCGCCACTGAGCTAAATCCCTGGCATCATAAAACCCTTTTTTAATTTCATCTCCCTTTAACCAACCATGTAATATAGGACTAATATATATTTTTATTTTACTTAATGTCATCTTTATTTGGGTGGGAAGCAAAAGACATTTTCTGTTTACATCTGTGGTTACAATTGCTTGTCACTGTGGGAACCTGATGTATTTTTTCAGTGGTTCATTGGCCCTTGGTAGAGAAAAATCACCCGATTTCAGTATCAAGAAACAAATTTAAGTTGGCTGCATTAACACTAAACAGAAAGGAAAGGAAGAATTCATTCTGTAAATTTCATGAATGATTTTCCTCTTTTCTATGTTTGTCAAACTGAATTATTCCACCTCTAATTAGTGCAATGTTGACAAACACAAGGACTTTAAAATTTTAAAATACTACAATTTTTCTTTTAATTCACAGTAATTCCCTAATTAGGCAAGAGTATGTTTTAGAAACTTAATTTCCATAAGTCATTGAAAAGATTCAAGTTTCTAGAAATTTGAAAATTGAGTTTAAAAGTGAGAGGAATAGACCTAATTGTAAATTTAATATGTTGGTTGTGTAATTTGATTAGTGATACCTATCAGTTGCAAAAGAGAATTTACAGTACACCATTTCAAAATCATGGGCTTGGTTATATTTTAGAACGTCAGCTCTTTCTCTGTGAAAGTCACAGTATCTTCTAGTTTGGCATCCTTTCTGTCTGAGTACTTCCCTGCCCACTTTCAGTGCACTGAGAGAAGACACTGAGTAGTAACTAGCCACCAGAGAGTAGTTTCCTGAGTTCCTGACTTAGTAACTTCAGGCTCTATAACAAAATGTCATGAAGAGGGTGACTTATAAGAAACAGAAATTTATTTCTTAGGGTTCTGGGGACTGCAAATTCCAAGACAGAGATACTGGCAGTGTCTGGTGAGAGAGGACTTGCTTCCTGGTTCATAAACTTTAGTTTTATCCCTGTGTCCTTACAAAGTAGACAAAGCTGTCTTAGGACTCTTTTAAGGACACTAATCTTGTTCATGAAGGCTCAACTTTTATGACTTCATCTAATCCTAATTATTTTCCAAAGACACTGACTCCTAATGCCATCACATTAAGAATTAGGATTTCATCATGAATTTTGGGACACAAGCATTCAGTCCATAACACAGACCTAAGGAAATGGGATAATATTTATACTTTCCTAAGACTCACTCTTTCCTTTCTTCACTTTACTGTAGTTTCTTTTCTGCCCCCACAGACTATATTGCAAGTTGTTACTAACTATTGAATCCTTCATTAAAAGGTCTTCAAGTTTATTTAACTTTTCCCCAGTAAGCCTTCTAATTAAAATAGTTTGTTTTCCAGGGTAGTTTCTTTTATTTGAATTCTAAATACTCTAGTCTATTAAAATATTTCTAATCATTGAAAACCCAGGATTTCTGAGTATCTGAGCATGAATTACACCATACTTGGTAGGATCAAACCAACTTGCTTAAGGTCTTTTTTTTCCAACAGTACTGTACTTGGGTACTTACTCAACTTGTAATCAGATGGTTGATTTTGGCTATAAAGTAATCTTTGAAAGGGAAAAAAATCAAAATTACTTGTCTGCTTATTTTTGCTAAGCATTATAAGTTTAGAGAGAATGGTATCTGGCAAATGGTTGGTATTTATATTTGTTGAGTAGGTATTTCATGTACTATATAATAATATTAGTCTATTTTAAAGAAGGAAGCAGTTAGCCTGTTTTTATACCAGTAAGTAATGGATCTGGAATTAAGTAAGTATAAAGGTAAAACTGCTAGGCAGTATTGATAAACAGATGAAATAGATTTCAAGGCAGAATTAATTTAAATGAGCAAAGAAAAAATCTTCATATGAATTAAGGAACAACACTTTAAAAAGTTTTAGGAGTCAAGAACTTTAATGTATCTGCAGTATAGCTTCTATATATTGAGAGCAAAAATTGACAGAACTCTGAAGGGATGAAGGAAAAGCATGTTATGGTAAGACATTAACCAGTAAGAAGGCAAAAATAATTTAAAAACTACAAAAAAAATTTTGAATTGCTCAGCTTACAAGTTCATTGTATAATCTTTTATTACATATAAAACATGAACATACTGTGCCCTTGGGTACAAAGGAACAAAGTTGTGCAGAATGGATGCTTAACAACCAGAAAGCTCCCAACAGATTAATGCATGAAAGTTATCTAACCCATGAGAAGAATAGGTAAATGATTGAACAGGAAATTCTCTAAAGAAATACAAACGGCCAGAAATATGTAAAGAGATGCTAAATTTCACTAATAATTAGGAAGCTGCAGATCTACAGATTAAAGTATAGAATGAGAACTATTTTTTACACCATAAGTTTTTTAAAAATTAAAGATGACAAATTATTTTTGGCAAGGTTATAGGTTAAGGAGTGTTTTCAGTGCTAGTTGTGGATTTGTAACTACCCAGAGTTCTGCAGAACAACTTGGCTTTATCTGTTAAAATTATACCTCATACTCTAAAATCTGCCCATTCTCAGGAATCTCCCTCATATTACTATACTGAGTTTTTGCATTTAGATCAGGGTTGGATTTTGTAGCTTTAAAAGTAATTTCCAATTCTTACCATGCAAGTTTGGGTCACAGTCTAGTTGGGCACTTTTTCTCATTTTGTTTTTGTTTGTTTTCTTGAGACAGTGTCTTGCTATTGTATCCCAGGTTGGCCTCCTTGCATTTCTCCTACTTCATAGTCCCGTGTTACAATTACTGGGCAAGCGCCACCATACCTGGCTTGTTTTCTTCCGCTTTAAAAGTGTTTAGCTGGGGATGTAGCTCAGTAGTAGAGCATTTGTCTAGGAATCACAAACCGTTGTCTGTTCGAGGTTCAGATGCAAATATGTGTGTCTATGTGTGGGGTAAGGGGCAACAGGCTTGGAAGAATGATAGTTCTACCTGCTGAGTTAGCAGATTTAACAGGAAGACAGCAGTGGCATAGTAGTGACATAGTATATGTGTGTACACGTACATTGTAAGAATTGACTTCTGCCACCACTGCAAAAGTCTTTGCAGAAAGCCTTTCTATGGCCATCACCACAGAGAGTAGCACCATTATATTTGGGTACAATGTATATTATATCAAAAATGTTAACTTCTTGTAGGAGAGCACAGTCATTATCTGGAACTTTAATTTCATGGAAAGAGTCAGTTTTACATGTTATTTATTTAGACAGTGTCTGAAGAATGTTTTTGTTATAAAAAAAGAACAAAGAAGAAATACAGAAATTTCAGATGTTGTTTTCAACTTTAAAAAGAAAAGGCCAGTGATGTTTCCATTGCCTATTAGTACATGAAACCCAAGCATACTGCCACAGAATTTAGGGTTCCTATCGTCTATACTCTTTCCAACCTTATCTCTGGATTCGTCAAGAAAAGTTCTCTTCAGGTCAGGGATTTAGCTCTGTGGCACCACACCTGCCTCGCAAGTGCAAGGTCCTGAGTTCGATCCCCCGTACCACCACACACAAAAAAAAGTTCTCTTAAACAGTGTGTACTAATTGAGCCTTAAAAGCCCTCCTCCTCCAGCCTGGAGCTTCCTCCTTCTGCCCTTTAAATGGCTAAATTTGTAGTCCAGCTGCAACTGCCTTTTCCAGTAAGAGCTGCTGTGGCCTTTTCTTATTTCTCTTTTTCAACTTCTGTATTATTTGTAAAGTGTTGCTCTTATTTTAGTATTTTAATCATGTAATGCTTATTTTTGGACTTGTTTGTTTTTTGAAACCATCTTGGTATGTAATATAGGCTGGCCTTGAGCTCATTATGTAGCTCAAGCTGGCCTGTAACTTGCTGTAATCCTGCCTCAGCCTCTGAAGTGCTGAGATTACAGGTGTGCACCACCATGCCTGGCCCTGGACTTGTTATTTGTTTAATTATAATGTTTAACATTGGTTTGTCTTGTCTGCTTCACTATAGTGTAAGCTCCCTGAGTATTGCATTATTTCTCTGGAGAACGAATAGCATGTAGCAACTTCTAAGTAATACATTTGCAGAGTAAATAGATGAAAATGTGTTCACTGTAGTAGAGACAATGGAATATCTTGTCTAACACATTTATATACTCTTATTTTTTCATCATTTAAATCTTTTTCAGTTTAGAGTGTTTATATCTTGGAGGAAACTTCATCAAAGAAATCCCACCGGAATTAGCAAATCTGCCTTCTCTGAATTACTTGGTATTATGTGACAACAAAATCCAAAGTGTGCCTCCTCAGCTTTCACAGTGAGTAGCTTTAGTTTATGTGTACATAAACATCTATGTTTAGGGATTGTTATCTTGAATTTAGTGCACTTTTTTACCTGTAGAAAAGAATTAAGTACACTTGTAGTAAATGACATGATAATTACAACTCAGTGATTTGCTGTGAATTAGGTTATTTTAAATTTTACTTCTGAGTGCTCTGGTTTATTCTTCAAAATATTTGTTCAGCTTGTTTTCTGTAATGAAGAAGTTAATTTGTCATAGGCTTTCCTGAGTTTTACAGGATTTTCGGTGATTTTATATTTGATACGAATCATTCTAACAAGGCTTTGTAATATAAAGGATTTTCATTCCTATTGCAGCTGAACTCTTTCCTGGTTTAGCTATCTGAATGACAAAGTATGCTCCCCCAGATCTTTACTTCTAACATTAATCTCATGTAAGACATCAGCACACTCTTCTAGTATGCTAAGGGCTCTAAGATTCCAAGGGTAGAAATCTCTTATGGCACTTACAAAACTGCACTCTAATCTGGTTTTAGCATCTTTCTTTGCTGATTCTTACAGGGAAATTGACTCTTCATCTGTACATACGTATGTCTGTGCACATGCTCATGAAATACGTAAACTTTCTAGTAGTTATGTTGCTCACTGCTATTGATTTTTGTGCTGGATTCATTCTAGGTTGCATTCACTTCGTTCCCTCAGTCTCCACAATAACTTGCTGACATACCTGCCCCGAGAGATCCTCAACCTTATTCATTTGGAAGAGTTGAGCTTACGAGGAAATCCACTGGTTGTTCGTTTTGTTAGAGATTTAACCTACCACCCTCCAACTCTCCTGGAATTAGCTGCGCGGACCATTAAGATGCGAAATATTTCCTACACTCCCTGTGATCTTCCTGGGAATCTTCTTAAATACTTGAGTTCAGCCAGCAATTGCCCAAACCCAAAGTGTGGTGGTAAGTAAATTCATTGTTCATGTTTCCTACTTATATAGTTATTTTTAAATTTTGATTGTTGTTCTAATTAGTTAAGGCTTTTGGAAGAAGGCACTGCCTTAGTTACTTTTCTCATTGCTGGGACAAAATACTCCAGACTCAAAAGTTAAAGGAGGAAGGGTTCATTGTAGCTCATAGTTCATAGAGGTTTCAGTCCATAGGCAGTTCACTCCAGGGAAGGGCTGCAAGTCAGCAGGATGGCATGGCAAAGGAAGAGAAACAGTCCATAGCAGGGTAGGCAGCAAGCAGCAAGCCTGCCTACTTTTCCTTTTATCCTATCCAGGCAACAAACCTTTTACATGGTACCACCCACATTTCCACACCCAGAACCATGCTAAGCCAAGCAATGGGCTAATTTAGTTATCATCTCTTAGTGCACATTCACACACTCTAGGTCCAGCCACCTCCAAAAAGCCCTGTCTATGAGCATATGAGGCTTTGGGGAGACTTCTAGATACAAGCCATAACAGGAAGTTACCTGAAAGTAAGACATTTTACCCTCTGAAGATTTCTTTCTCTTTCTTTTCTTTCATGTGTATGTGTTTTGTGTGTGTGTGTGGTGTTGAATATTGAACCCAGGGCCTCACGCATAAAAGGAAAGTGCTCACCCACAGAGCTACATCCCCAGCCCACTTTTTGTTTTTTTAAATTCTTTCTATAGTATTTTTTGATTCACACAAGAAAATACCAGTATTTGGGGGTTCACACACAAGAATATACCCAGGAAAATGTGCTCTTTCAGGATGTATGAGAATGGGCTGAATGCATGCAGATCTCAGGATGTACACTAGCACTTTATAGTCTTTTAAATCCATGGCTCAAAATTTGAGTTTAGATCATTTGGAGAGAAATAAACAAATGATACACTATAGGGCAGAATAAGATAATTATCCCTAGGAATGCAATCTGCTATTAGAAATCAAAGGAGGGATGATCAAAACCAGGTGAGATTTTTCCTGAAAGTCTTGTCTTGAAATTGTTATAAGTTTAAAAAGAGGGAAAAATGACTAAGTTCCTCAAAGATTGCTATAAGAGCTAAAAGATACTTTGGATTAAAAAGAGAGAGAAGGATCATGCTCTGGCACCTCCTGGCTATACACTCTTAGAAATAAATAGAGGTGGGCCAGGGATTTAGCTCAGTGGTTCCACTCCCTGCCTCGCAAGCACAAGGACCTGAGTTTGATCCCAGGTACCAGAAGCACTAGAAATAAATAGAGGTTGCAATATGGATCGTTTGAGCCTACAGTTCAGTAATATTCCCTGCACTTGGGAATAGAGAATCCTTAAGTATTCAGAGAGTAAAACTGATGTGGTTTCTTAAGAAAAATGAGTCATTTTGTGTCTTGGATTTCAAATAAATTGCATTCTGTAGATAAAAAAATAAACAAAAAAGAGAAATAAATTGAGGTCGCGAAGCTGTGTCTAGTTGAGTGTGTGTAAGCTTTTCTCTGAGGCTCCCCTTCCTGAACTGGATGTTAACAGCAGCACTGTATTCACATGGGGCAGCATCGCCACCAGATCCCAGGCTCATGGTCCTAGTATGCTTTGAGTCCATCTTTTTCTAGAAATGGACCTCTATAAGAATTCTTGAGCCAGGCATGGAGGTGTATGCCTGTAATCCCAGTACGGGATTGGTAAACTGAGTCAGGAGGATTGCCAAGTTCGAGGCCAGCCTGAACTACATAGCAATACCCTGTCTCAAAAAAACAAAAAAAATTCTCCCTTTGCTCTTTAGTGATTTCTTAATAACTTCTTAGTGTACTGAAGTCCTGTTTATCTTAGCAATGCTTAGAAAATTACTAGTGTAAAATTTGAGATAATATATAAAATAAACCAGTAAATATCCCCCCCCAGATTACCTATTGAAGGCTGATATTTTACAGATGATAAGAGAGTTACACTATTTGAGCTCATAATAATTTCATAATGTTTTAGTTTATAATTTTCATCTCTTTTCAGGAAGTCAGTAGAGTTTTGAAGATTTATTACCAGTCTGTTGATTCATCAATTTACTTAGTGTATCTACTTTCTAAATTGTTTCAAGTAATATACTATACCTAGAAGGTCAGGCGGTATCAGGGAAAAATGTAGAAATCTTACTTCTCCTTTGCTGGGCCACAGCTTTTTTAGTTTGGTCTCTGTGTGGTAAACACAGAAAATAGTTGGGAAACGTAGGTAGAGTCTATAAAGTTTGAGATTCCTCTCCAGAGAGATAGTGAGACCCAGAGTTCTGTTATGTTCCTGTTGTACTACAATAATCAGGATAGCTTTGTGTTAAAGATATTCATTATCTTTCTAAGGATCAAACTTTTCATTCCTCTGAGCTCTCTTCACATTTCTACCTAGTTGAGGGGCCGCAGATAAGAGCACTAAATTAGGAACCCAAGGAGCCAAATACTAATTTCAGTCTACCATAGATTATATAATTGTACAAAAATCAAGTGAGATCACCAGTGCATCTGCTTTCTGCCTTCTTCCTGCTGATTGTATATAACAAATTATTCCTTAAGATCATTATAAGGGAGTATTTCTTTCATTTAGTCTCCTGACTCTGGGTAGTACTGAGAGGGTGCCTTGGGCATGGAAGAAGGCCACTGTCAGTATCTTTTAATTCCCACCAACCACTGTCGCCAAGTCAGCAAAAGAAACGATGCTAAGTAAACAGTGTCCTTTGAGCCGTTTCTTTTAGGATAAATCTCCCTGCCTTCTCTTTGCAGCCATAGTGTCATGTCTAAGACCTTCCAGTAGTTCTATAAATAGCTGTATAGATGTCACTATTAGGTACTTCTGTTTAAGTTCACAAAAGAAAACTGTGTATGAGTTTTCTCCAGAATTCTGGAGAAAGACTTGAAAAAGAAATTCTGGCTTCTTATTTGTAATGATTATTTTATATTTCTTCTCTGTAGGAGTCTACTTTGACTGTTGTGTCAGACAAATTAAATTTGTGGACTTCTGTGGGAAGTACCGCCTCCCGCTGATGCACTACTTATGTTCGCCAGAATGTTCTTCCCCCTGCAGTTCTGCTTCACACAGCTCCACGTCCCAGAGTGAGTCTGACTCGGAAGACGAAGCTAGTGTCGCTGCACACAGAATGCAGAAAGTTCTTCTTGGTTGAACACAAGTGCAGGGTGTTATGAAATACTAAAAAACTGAGCAGGGGTGATTGTAAAAGAGCATAGAGTTTAAAGTTGATTATCTTCATCTTGAGTGTCCGTGAAAGAGTTGGTGATGTTAAGTTTCATCTACCATTCAGCAGGAATGAGTTAGTTTCCATGTTTGGATTCTTTTAATATAACTTACTCTGAATGGCAGTTCCAATTTGGGTTGGTGGCAGTTTCACTCAAGTTTTGCCTGAATCTCTCACCAGGATGGTACATTCTGAACAGTGTTATAGTAAGCCACGAGGACTGTAATTAGTGGTGATTGAGATGAAAGAAATTATCAACACTGTAATTATTAGCAGAGTTGTCATTGGGTTTCGATTGAACACTATACCATAAATGGGATTCACTCTCTCCATGTGTTGCCCATGTGTTTAGATTACAGACCTCTTCATGTGTGCTCACAGCTGGTTACATAGGACCTAACCTTTGTGACCAGCCAAGTGGTAAAGTAAGGAATGTTACTTTTAAATGGGATGTTTAACTCTTTTGTTCTCCTTTGTTTTATATGATTGTTAATAACTCTAATCCACCAGTGACTGCAACAGTGCCTTAATGCTAGCGAAGTAATAGAAGCTTATTCAAAAAAAAGTGCCAGAGCAGTGAACAAACTGACATATTATGCAGAACACTTTAAAATATACATTAACAGAACTAGAACTAGGTTAACAACTGTGTATCTAACAGCTGAACTCATGGCCATCATAACTTCATTTTTTTTACGTAAATGTAACTGATCCCTTGTGAACAAACTGCTTTTACACTTAATGGAAAGCCACAATCTTAATCTGTTCATTGTAAAACAGAATAGTTTTTAACAGAAAACTAGAAGCTAGGAAGGCTTCTTTGTATCTTGCATTAAATAAATGGGGGGAAAGTTTAGAATTTTAAATAATCAAATGTGACTCTTTTATGTGTTAGTACTAAATGTAACTTTCCCTACACTTTAAGAAAAAAAGAAAGCAACTAGAAAAACATGACAGTGGAACAAAATAAAGTTGAAAGCAGGGATTATTGTGTTCATGCACAATAGAACAGTTTCCAAAACTAGTTTAATCATGGAAGATTTTGAAAATAAAATATTGATAAAATTTCAAAAATACGTTGTACCCACAGGGGAAAAGGATTCACAATTTTTTGCCGTTAAAACTTATCAATTTTTTGTTAACTACTTTAATATAGACTAAAAATTTAATAATAGGGCAACTGTAAGTTGCTGTTGTAAAACACACACTAGTAATCAACCAGTAATAATGTGATGGCTAGTTGGTAAATGTTAAATACAGAGTAATATACAGATCAGATTGCATTAGAGCATCTGGTAATCTCTTAAAGGGTACACACTATTTCTTAAAAGCCAGTTGTATAATAGTGTAACATATAGGTTAAGTTTTTTAACATAGTTTTTTGTTCTAGAAGAAAGTATAGTATAGGGTAATTCAGGGTTTGTGTATTTGTGTGTTAATTCATGAAACATGAGAGTTTCATGACTGCAGTTGTGAAACGCTGCTATAGTGAATCCCTTTACCTTTACCTTGTTATAATGTAGTAAGGTTTATTTTCTTTTGATTCAGAAATTTTCTGCCTATATCTATAGAAATAGTCTAACGTATTTCTGTTGCTTAACAGTAATACATGGGTGATTATATCATAAAATAGAAATAATAAAGATTTTGCTTCTTCACTTGGGCCATGGAAAGACTACAAATTTATGAAAGATACATCTGACTTAGACAGTACCTAAGTGACAATCCTAAAACATTTTGTACCTAAGTGACTTAGTTAGATGCATAAAGTATTTTCATGGAAAAACTTTATAGTAAAGTAATAGGACCAAATTTTTCTGGCTTACATGTGCCTTTACCTTATTGACCATCAGCTTAACCTAAGTAACAGCTTGAGTAATCTAAGAATCTTTGTAAAATAACTAGGTAAGTGCGTAAATATAACAATCTTACTTAGCCTTTTCAGCTTTCTTGAAAGATGGTATACCCCTTGATCTTTTACAGATGTAAATATTCTAACCGGAAGTAGCTTTAGCTTGTGCCATATAGTGTAGATACATACTGTATGTGTAACAAAATGTTTATTATAGTTCAAAAGTCTATTATCAATATGTAGCTATCTTTGATAATGTTTAATGAAATCTTTTAGCCAGTTTTATCTTTTTTTAAATCTTTGACCTTACCCTTCACAAAAGCTGCTAATAATTTCTGAGATTTTCCTTGTTTCTTCTCTTCACCTTCCCTTTTCTTATAAATGTTTATAGAAATTAGGAGATGAGATAGATGCAAGGGACTTAATCATCTAGAAACAAGATAACCAGCTTCCAAGTCATATAGCAGACTATGTATTTAAAGTAGTAGTCTCTCTCTTTAGTCATGTTTGTGTTTAACCACAGTTGATAAACTTTAGTTTTTAAAAAAGAGATTTGTGAATTAAGTTTTTGATATTGTTCCAGTTGAATGATTTTACTGAATGAAACTGTTGTAGAAAAATCTACTTAAGCAAAAGTATTAATCTGTATAGAATGGAATTCTTAAGTGCTAATATTTGAAATTGAAATGGGTACATTGTACATTCTTAGTAGTCTTTGTTCCTAGAATCCATTTTTGTCTGCATCATCAAACTGAGTCAGAGAGATAGTCCTAGGACACAAGAAATAGGAAAATTAGCTAATATGAAATTTTGATTCCATGGTTTCAGGGACTGACTGGCATAAGGACCAGCTTGTCAGGGTTCTCAGTATTCCTTCTATTTGAATAGCAGAGATTGATTTGAAGGTGACTGTTTATATTTTACTTCTAAATTTACTCAAAAGGCATCTATTGTTCTAAGTTTTGTTTAGTTTGTTTTTTGAGACAGGCTTGCTTTGTAGTTCAGGCTGGCCTTGAACTCATGGCAATCCTCCTGCATCAACCTCCTGAGTGCCAGGATTAAAGGCAGACACCACCACACCTAGCTTAAAATTGTTGATATTTAGAATTTTAAATCATTAGATTTGAAAGTAAAGGTTTGCACTGTAAACTGCACCTCAGATTTGAGAAATTTGTGTTGATGCCACAAAAGTATGGCTTAATACTGCAAATTATCAGGTATTGTAAATAATAAGTTTCAAATAGAAAAGAAGGAACAGTCTGGGTGCTAGAGCCTTAAACAAAATCATTAAAAGCAACAAAGACAGGAATAGAGATGTCATCAGCAATTTAGGAATATCCATGAGTCAAGAAAGCTCTTTATAGTAATATTATAAGTTGTTTTAAAAATGAAGTTAAGTGGCCTACTACCATCCAAAAACTTTTATCTCTAAATATATTCAGTGTCTGCTGTTGGGAGTGTCCATATCCTTCCATAATGGAGGGCCACTAAGTAGTAGGATTTTCTCACAGCCAGCTTTGCTTTTCCTAAAGGGAGAAAATAGTACCTCATTAACCTGGAACTTATGGTTCATCAATTAAGCCTTGGTTAATGTTTACCTGTTCATTACCTTAAAAAAGAAAAACAAGTAAATAGTACAAATAAAGTTTGATCTTTGAAAGCATTTTAGCAGTAGCTATTTACATATAAAAATAATGGTTATCTTAAATCTTCATATAGCTCATTATAGAAAACTACCAGTTGTATTATTCATTTAACTGTAGCTATGAGTACCTATTTGTCCTAGATGATCCTCTTATACAAAAGTAGAGATTTTACTGTATCCTTACAAATATTACTCCTTGTTTAATCCAAAATACTACATAATGAGCTTTTAAGTTTTGCTGGGCATTCAACCCATAGTAAAGGGTATTGTATAGGTTTTAAGGCAACACAACCTATAATAATACATAGTTGTGATTCCTGCATAGAAAAGTCCTCGACCTTCACTATCTCTATGTAAAGCACTCTTATATAACATTAATGAATTTAATACCATATAATTTTATATTTTCATTATAGTCATTTTTTTTTGGTACCAGGGATAAAACTCAGGACCTTGCGCCTGTGAGGCAGGCGCAGTGCCACTGAGCTAAATCCCTGGCCCTAGTCATGATTTTTTTAAAGGCAGCATGCCTTCATTTGTAGTCAGAAAGTATGTGCCTTAAATCCTACTCTCAGCCTTTAGTTTTAGGAACTGTATCATTGAATATGTTATTTTTGACAGCCGCATGTTCTTTTGCACATCACTGAAGAACTGTGATCCTGAAAAATTCTTTGCCTAAAACAGGACCCAGTGTATGAGCATAGGCTTCTGGGGAGGGAACTCCAATTAATTTAGTACTGTTACAGGAGGTCAGAACCATAAAGATCAGGGTCCCCTGAAATAAAATCAGTGATGTATTTTCTTACATATTTCTTTACTTTAGAAAGTTTGTCTGGTAACACCAAAGGATAACAGCAGGTCCTAAGCATCTTCATATTTACAGTATCATATGAAGACATTGTTACTCAGGCCTGACATGTTTGGCTACTGCTTTTCTTTATAAGTTGAAAGGGTAGAGGTTAATGTTTTAATACATTGTGTGTAAATAGCTTAATTCTTTTTATATTTTTCTTGGTCCATATTTTCAAAGAATAGATGTTTAAAAATAGTTCACTAACAAACATTACACATTATTTGAACATTCACAGGATAATGTCAATTTGGGTGCTACTAGACTTTTCACTTAGCATTAATCAGTCTCAGTAATGCATGTAGGGGACAGTATTCAATCTAGTATACATTAAATCTATTAGTTAAATGAACAGTATTTATATACTGTCATGCCAGAAAGCCATGGCAGAAAGACCATCTGCATTCAGCAGAACATACTTTGTTCCTTTGGCTGTGAATAAAATTGGATAAAATTGTTTTATTCAAAATTCCAGCTAAAGGAAGAAACTAGAATAAGATTGACATTATTGTTGCCAGTATTGCAAAAACATTACTAAATTGATTCTGCCTATAATTGATGTTTGAGAATTGTCAATAATTTAAGTAGCATTGATTACTAGCTACGAGAAAAGACTATTAACTTTAACCCCACTTTACAGCATGTAGAGACTTGTGTTGAAGTTGTGTTCTGAACTCACTTTGTATTCATAAGAAACAAAAACAATGGGAGAAAATTTTAGAATATCCAATATTTTAACTTTTCATAAAGTTTCAGACTTTATCAATAAAGGATACTGAAAATATATTGAGTTTTACTTTGAGCAAATTACTATGTATGATCTGATATCTTAATTTTCTGTATTTAAAGCTGTGTGAATTAGGAAAATCCTATAAATATATAGTTAATTAAAAGTTAATGGTAAATGAATAACTCAGTGGTATGATTCAACAATTTTTATTTTCTCAATATAGTTTATTGTCAAATTTATATATTACCTTATAATGGTAAATGCTCTAAAAAGGATATTTAAGCTACTTCAATTTTAGTACTTTCCCCTCACCTCCCAGGACATAACAGAATATTGTAATCTTATACCAATGTGTGTGAATTTTGCCTTATTAAACATTGTGCCTTATTTTATTAAATTGTTTTGTTGGAATCCAGTTCTATATTTTGGAAAAGTAAGCGTTTTTTGTTTTTTTGTGGCTTTTGTTGTTTTTTGGTATCGGGGATCGAACTCATGACCTTGCACTTGCAAGGCAGGTGCGCTGCCACTGAGCTAAACCCCTGGCCCAGTATGTTCTTAATTAACAAGAATTTACTTTTTAAAAAAATTCTAAAGTCCTCATAATGTTTATATTTGCGTCTTACTTTTATATCACTATTTATCTGTTTATTGAATTTATTCAATACATGAATTTGTAAATTAAGTGTGTTTTAGCATTTGTTCTCTGTTCTAGATGCAAGTCATAAAAGATGATTAAGTCCAGCTTCTTATCTGCTGGAGTTCCCTTCTCCTCTCACAATCTCAACAGGTTTATGGAGCCATGCTCTAATAAGAATTACTGAGATAAAAAGGTCAGTTACATCTTTAACTTAGTCCAGAATCAAGGTCTTAACCACAAGTAACATTGTATTGAATACAATGATATTGCAACAGTTCATGTTACTATTATTTAGTGCCATTGTTTTGGTGATCCTGATAATATCTGATATTTGTGTGCATTCCAGAATGTGGAAGAACATTGTGACTGGTTAGAATTGGGGAAACAGAGTAGATAGGATGGACACCTTTGCAAAAAAGCTAATGTTTCAATTTATTGAGGTGGAAAGATCTCAGCACTTTCCTGGTTAATACATAGGAAGGCTTCTTGATGAAGGTAGGCCCACAACTTGGAGAGATGAGAAAAAATATTGTGACTGATCTCTTAACCTTTCTTGAGGATAAAACTATAATGTTCCCTGTTCTTAGAACTAGGGTAGAAGGAAATTTTATTGTTCAGGGACTAACTTTGTAGAGAGCAAATAGGCAGACCATTTCAGGGAATGTATGAGGCTTGGAATGTCCCATCCATCACACCAGTCGCTCCCAACTTCATGAGCAATTTGTCTGCATTCCCCAAGACATTTGAGCTAGAAGAAACCTTAGAAGTCTGAAATTTACTCCTTGTTTGAAAAATAAAGATTAAAGATGTCTTTAGAGAGACATCTTTGAAATAGTGTCTGTACTACATCTCAGTGTAATCAGGATTTTAGACCTTGTGAGAATTTTAGACCTTAGATAAAACACCTGGTGGCTCTACTATTTACAAAACACAGTCAAGACCCTCCTTTTAGCTGGGCGTGGCAGCATGTGTTTGTGATCCCAGCACTCAAGGAGGCTTGCAAATTCAAGCCCAGCTTGGTCACCTTTGAGACCCTGCCTCAAGATCAAAACATTTTTTAATAGCTAGGTACATAGCACAGTGTAGAGGTCCTGGTTTCAATCCCCAGTACAGAAGAAAAAAACAACAAGAAACGTACCATAGAAAAAAAGGTACCATAGTACTACATATGGTAAAGTTGGTACACTTTATCAAAGAATTGCCCCCTCAAGGTTGAAATCAATTAAGAAATTGATATAACCCTGAGATAGGAAACTAAATACTCTATCAGCCTTTTCAAATCAGAATTGACGCTTCTTGGATCAGCCTTTTCGAATCAGAATTAAATTGAATGTAATCAAAATCATAGGCTTCCCATACAGCAGTGATGGTGAACACTTGGCATGCATGTTGTTTTTAAGACAAGATGTTAATGTATGAGTTGTTTCTTCTAAAACCTCCGGATTCAGGTTTAATTGCAGTGTTGGCACTTTGTGATAAATAAGTTGGTTTTGGGTTGCAGTTTGGGCACTCATCTCTAAAAGGTCTGCAGTCACTGCCCTACAGGAACTGAGCCTATCCCTAGATAGTATTCTACAAGGCTCAGCAGAACACACCACTTTGGGCAGGCATGTCCAAAGGAGGGCAGATCAAATTTTAATCCCTTTGTGCTTCCCCGCAGAGAAACCGAAGACAGTTAATCTCCAGTCTTGAGGCATCTAAGCCAGTGAATTCGTGTTTTTCATACAGGAAGAAAGAAATGTTACCTGTGGATATCTGGTCTCAAACCTGCTGCACATTATAATCAAAGGAGCTTTCAAAACAGGCAGATGCAGGGTCCACATTCCCAGACCAAATTTTGACTTTGTTTCTACGTGTGGATTCTAGTATCTACATGACTCCTATGACCACTGAAGGTAAAAATCAGTGCTTTGTTAAAAGTTCCTTTATGGTAACTTGAGACTTATGGACTAAGATACTTTGCAACAGATGTAAGTGGTGAAGTAACTTGCCCAAGTTCTCTTAAATAATGGCAGAGCTGGACTAGAATCCACTCATCTGTTTTTTTAAAAAAAGGTTTTTACTGAATGCCTCTTTTGGGCTAGGCCTCAGTAGGCTGTGGCAAACTGAACAACTGGGCAGAATATGTCAAAGTTCAGAAACCCATGGCTAACAGATTGAGATATTTTCCTAAAAAGACAGGAGATGTGCAAAACATGGCACTCAAAATGATGTCAGGCTTAGGGCTTGAGCACTGTGGACTAGTCAGAAAACTGCTATTTTTCAATCCTTTGAATCTGGTGGTGTTCAGAGGACCAATCAGAAGAGGCTGTTTTCAATCCTTCATTTACATAGGCCATGACCAACAAAAACAGCTTCTGTTGCTTCATTTACATTTCCAAGAGGCCAAGTGAATTTTTTATGGAAATTAATACTTTTAAAAATCCCTTTAAATTTTATTTTTATTAGTACATGTTTGCAGTATATAATGATCATAATGCATCTTATGGTCCTCCTTTAATTTGGAAGGGGAGGGTGCAGTATAATTGGCCCAGAACCCACTTCTCTGGAAATGAACCACAGTATTGTTGATGATGCAAAGATAAACCAGATACTGGCATACAGTAAAAATTAATTAATAGCAACAACTATGCCACTCTGGCAATAGCAACAAGATCAGCAACAACAGTAGAGTCAGACAAACTGGATATCTGGATATTGACAGACTATAAAAAGAAAAGCTGCCTCTATGACTCTTAACCATAGAAAAGGTATCTATAAATATAGACATAAAAACAAACCAAATATTGACATACGGTAAATGCCCACTAAACAACAATTATACCACCATTAACAACAGAAAAGAATTCAACAATAGTAGCATAGAGTTAAATATGTAAAGATTAACAAAATTTAATACTGGTAAAGATGGAGTGAGTGGGAAACAGGAAAATGAAGTAAAATTTGAAAACTAAAAGGAAGATGAAAAAGAAAAGGGAGATAAAGGATACTATTAAGGATAAAATAAAATTATTAGATAAACAGAACACAAGAAATATAAGGGGAAACCCCTGAAACTCCTAAAAAAAAATCAATGGAGAAAAAACAAGTTTTTGAATTTTTGAATGAGTGGATTCTTTCCGTGGTCTGCAGTATTAGAATCCACCAGCTATACAGGAAAGATAGTGAGCCCCTATTAAGACCTGTTTTGCTTCTCACATTTTTGTGTGTGAATGCTGAATCCTGCTCCACCTTTCCTACTGGGCATGGTTGGTCAGTGGTTTCCATCATAGAGCTGTAGTCACTGCTCCCAGTTTCTGTGTTGCTCTGTGTGACCCAAGTCAGCTTTTTCTACCTTATGTCAGCAGAAATAGTTTACATCTAGCATAAAGTCAAGTGTGTTTTTAGTAGAACTAATATTCCGATCTTATTTGCATGAGGTGAAGAACAATCGGTATTTTAGATATAAAAGACTGCTTTTGTTTTATTCTCAAGGTTGCTGTGAGCCTTTTCCCTGGCCCATTCTCATCCCGGAGACCATACTTCTTTTCTACTTTCAATAAATATATACTCTTGCTACCTTTTCTGTGTGTCTTGTCAAATTCTTTGTTCTAGATACTAAGGACCTGGGAAGAAGTCCTACAAGATCCTCCATCCCCAATCTGGTGCACCCCAGTGTTCTCTGTCAGCTCCTTTTTCTTCCTGAATTGAAAGTGTTCTGTGGGTATAAGATAGTATATTCAAGTAAATTGGCTCTATTGATGCCAACAGCAACCAAGGCATAGTGAATGTTGAGTCATGGGAAACAAAAGCAGCTAATATATCAACTTGACATCAGCTAATACATCAGCTGATACATCTAAACCTTCACAAAAAAATGCCTTGGTGAAATAGTTGAGGTTGACATCAGAAGGCTGGAGACTTTGATGAAAACCTTGCTAAAGCATACTGTTTCTTTTGACTGGGGCAGATAAACACAAGGCTAACATAAGCAACAGTGACATACAGTGTAACATTCCCAGGAAAGATAAATTTGCCTGGAGGATGAATGATAGTTAATCTGTAAACATAGATTTCCATGATTAAAAATAAGATTTCTACTCAACTACAAATTTTTTCAAGAACCATACATATTTTCTATCTTAGTTTCTTTTATAACTAGGTATAAGATTATGTTATTCTTTTCCATCTTAAATCTGAATAATAATACAATTTTAAGACCTCTTTAAATATGTGGGAAGTTTAAAGGGGAACAATAACCTGTTCCTAATGACCTAAGAACTCTATAAGAAAGAAAATATTCTTAAAACATTATTTTAGGGAAGTTCCTCCAAGTAAAACTCAGTCTAAAATGTTGCTTTGGGAGTTTTAAGAGCTAAACTAAATAAAGATGTGAGGGCTAAGTTTAATTTCTTGGAAATCAAGCTTATTTCACAGCATGAATGCTTCTACAAGTTTAAGATTTTTTAAAAATTTTAACCCCTTTGTAAACTTGACAGTGATCTCTGAGGTTCTTCCTAACATTAAGAGTCTACAATTACATGAGCTATTTTTGTAGTTCTCAAATATTTGTAAATTCTCGTATCATTCACCACATTCTTTTAGTCATCTCTAGGTCTTTTAATCTTTCCTCCTAAAATGATATAAATGCAGCCAGAGGCAGGGTTAGTGGGATAATGAGAACTTTACCCTTAATCTGCAATTAAAATTCTACCCTTTATATCACTTCCAAGAGATGGATGTAATGGATGACAGATGTCCATGAGCAGCTTTGAAACAATCTTAGTTTTTCATTTTTGCTGTGAGCAGCATCTCATAAAAGAAAGACATATATAATAGACCAGTCGGTAAGAATGAATCAGATGATTACTAGATGCCTATGGTTTAAACTGTGGCATAGTTTAATTTCATTTTTGATCTTGGCATGTTACAGGAATTTCTAGTTCTAAACAATCACAGAATCAAAGGTTTAGCAGCAAAACCTTGATAGGACATCATCGCTTTATGTAAAAGAACAACCCAACCATCAGACTAAGACCTTTTGTTTTAAATACCTCAGAAGATTTT